CTAGACTGTACCTCTGATGTTGGCTTATTTTACATCCTTCCCTGCCATGCTATTTCCTCAAAGTCTTGGACATTCAATTCTAAATATACCTCCTTATTTATCTCTCTTTTTTTCCTCATTTTTCATTTGAACTCCTTTCTGTTGCCTATGCTCTCTTAACCGTCTGCCGGTTTATCTTTCCACTAGATTCAAGACAAAATTTAATTCTTATTGCAGCAAATATGAACTTTGTGTCACTTAGCATAATTTAGCTGCCTTGCTTATTGTATCTCCAATTCAGGGTCACGACTCTACTGTCCAAACAGGAATATGAAGAGTGAGTTGCCAGTAGCTTTGAGAATAAACATAGGATATTAGAGCTGCAAAGAATTTAGAGATGTTTACTTTAAAGCTAAGAAATCAAAGAGTAAAGAAGGTAAGCCACCTCCTAAGAGGTATGGAGACTCTTGTCCACAGCAACACCTTGAAGCAGAATTGAGGCTGCTTGGATCTAAGCCACTTGTCCATCATCAACACTTGCTGGGTGCTCGAGTGAGACTCCACAAAGAACTGTGGGACAGAAAAAGCCATGATGGAGAATTTCCTGTCTAAGTTTACCTCTCTAGGTTTTACTTCCCTTCTGAGAGGGGACCGAGGCAAACACGTCAATTGACTAGCATAGAGAAATCAGACAAAAGGAAATTTTTACAGAAACGCAAAAGCCACTCTCTTCCTTCTACAACAAAACCATCTAAGTTCAGAATCATATAAATCAAAATTGCAAACTTTCTATATTTCTTTTTTTATCACCATAGGAAGCTCCTAGTGCTGATAGTATGACTAATTTCTTCTGTGTAGAAAGTAGCTTCCCTTCCTTCCTTTTTCCTCCCTCTCCCCTTTCTTCCTTCCTTTCTTCCTCTCTTCTTTTGCTTTTGCTGTTATAACCTTTGTTTTTTTTCCCTCTATACCATATCTGATAAATTAACTCTTGTGGGTGGAATAACTTTGAGCATAATTCTATAGAGCTAATTCTTTGGCAAGGGTTACAGGGGTCATGTGGTACTTAATAAGAAAAAAACCATTATTTGATGAGAATAATGCTATCAAAATTAATGAAGCAATTGACTTAACCCAGGCCACCCATACTAGGCTATTTGAAGCTTTCTTAAATAAAATGAATCTCTCCTGTTTGGAAAAAAAATCAAAGATTTCATTCACCTTCCGCTTTATATAGAATTATCAGCCACAAAAGATGAGGGTTGCAGTTGGTATAGAGAGGGAAGAGCGAGTTTCTTGATTGAAACCCTCTTCCAAGGGCAGATCGTTTATTCTATTTTCAGGTCTTTATAGTTTCATAGGCAGGAAACCAGCTGCTCGTTTGGCTGAGCCTGAGGCAGGGGAGGATGAGATTGCAGTGCTCACTGGCAATGAGTAAGTCTCTTAAGTGCACCTAGGGAATCACTTAGATTCCCTGCGCTCTGTGGAGTCACTTGTAAAATAGAATTCTTTTAGGTTCGCTTCCATGACTGTTGTTAGGCAGAATCATTTTGCAAACAGCAAATACAATGTGAAGAAAATGCACTTTCACTCTTTTCAGTCTATACTCTCCCCTCCCCTCGTCTGTCCTCCAGGTCCCCCTTCTTGACAGATCTGGAGTTTGGATTCAAGGTCTTATACTTGCTAGGCAGGTGTTCTACCACTTGAGCCTCATCCCCAGCCCTTATATTGCTTTTTAGTAATATTTTGGATAGAATTTCAATTGTTTTCTTGAGGCTGGCCTCACACCCTGATCCTCTTACCTATTCCTCCCACATATCTGGGATCATAGGGGTATACCATCCCACTTCAACTCTGTCTTTTTTAAAGTCTTATCTCCATAAGTAGTGATGCTGTCAACCTGTGATGTTAAACACTGATCCATTTTGAATGATATTAAAACAATTTATGAGGGCTGACAGGATGGTTCAAATATTACCTACAATGCCTTCCTAGCAAGTGAGACCCTGAGTTCTGACCTCAGTACCTCTAAAAGAAAAGCATGTCAAAAGGGATATTTATGGGCCAAAACAAACCCAAGCCATTCCAATTTTCAAATTAATAAACACACTATGATATATAAGTACTCAGCGCATGCTTTTAGAATTATACAGAGAACTCAGAAAGACTAAATGAGTTTAAATTATGCATTTAAACATCTCCCTCACCTCTTCTCAGTATTTCTTCACATTACTAAGATCACAGTCATATGAGATATATATACCATGAATTAGCCTCCTCCTTTTGTTTTCATTTGTAGTTTAACAGGCTAACAGAGGATAAGAACTTGAGTTTTAGAGTGAGAAGTGGGTTAAAAATCCAGCACAGTCTCTCTGACATATGCCAAATTTCTAAACCTCCCTAAAACGTAATTTCCTTCTCCATAAAAGGAAATGCTAATAATAGCAGCTACCATAAAGGATTATTCATTTGATTAAGTGAAATAATACATATAAAATGTACTGCATAGGCTCTAATTCATGGTTAAGACCCTAATAAATGTTTAGTATTATTATTATCTGACTATACATTGATGAACTCATTATCTTCATGTTTTTATAGTATTCTAGAAAATTAATCAACATTGTCCCCTCCTTTTTTCTTTCTCTACTGCTAGAAATGTGGGATATTTAAAATTACCTGGGGATATTAGTACCATTTCTATAAATATCTACATATTAAATATTGTTTTTGGTTGTTTACTTTCTTGAGAGATATTTCCCAAGCTAGGAACATAGTATCAAATGAGAGGTTTTTATGGTCCTTCTTGCAAATTGCCAAATTACTCTCCAGAGGGAAGTAAACTAATTTACAGATAGCTACATGATGTTATTAAACCTCTTCCCTCACAGACACACTAACACTGGTTTTTCATTACTTTAGTTTATTTATTATAGAAGACTTGGCATAAAATTGCCAAACATTGATTTTGTCTTTCTTTAACTGCTAATGGAACTTGGGTTCCCATGCAATCACCCCAACTCTGTTCTCTCAGATGAAAACCAAAATACCATGAGTCCTTGAAGAGCACCACCTAAGTCAGGTTACTTCTCATCTATATTCAGCTAGACTATAAAAGGGTTTAAAGAATATTTGACCCCATGATTATTGAGTGATTGCAAGGCTTGATAGAGCTTTCATGATTCAAAGATGAATAGCCAAAAATATGATGAAAAAAATTGAAAGAGAAGGAGCAAAGGATGATAACAACCCAGGGCTGGTGAAATGCTCTGCACTGTACAAAGAGGCAATGGCTCACCTAACAGCAGTTTCCTGGTGAGCATGGTTATAGAATCCTTTTATTTAAACATTGTTCTTAAAAGTCTAGCCAAGATCATAAGGTAAGAAGAGGAAGTGAGAAAAGCTGATTGTCAAAATTTATAAATGATACTCTTCCACTATCTAAAAAGTAAAACAGAAGAATCCATGAAAACAATGTTACACATAACTAAGAAGTTCAGAGAAGTCACAAATAAATATAAAATAATCCATAATTGTTTTACATAACGTAGACCGCAACTTAGAAATACTTCCTGAAAAAGACACTTTTCGGGGTAATAAGAAAATTTTAATATGGAAGCTAACAGCTTATAATGGTTTATCAAGGAGCTGTATGAATAGGGTGGAGAAAAAAATCCCTACAATGTTTTGTGATGAATGTTAAAGACCTAGATAAGTAGGGGAAAATACCAAACTTGGAAAGCAACATGGACCAAAGAAATCTATCATTTTAATACAATTCAAGTTAAAATACCAGTGAGTCAGGTTTTGGCAGTGAACAACTTATTATAATTCTTCAAGAAAGGAGCAATGCAGCAAAACACGTTCTTAAACAAATGAGGTGGCATTTGCAACATCAGATATTTATATTGCAGATCTATCTTTAGATTTTTAAGAAGCCTCCAAATTTTTTTCCAGAGTGGTTGCACTAGTTTACATCCCCACCAGCAGTGTAAGAGGGTTCCTTTTTCCCCGCATCCTCACCAACACCTGTTGTTGGTGGTGTTGCTGATGATGGCTATTCTAACAGGGGTGAGGTGGAATCTTAGTGTGGTTTTAATTTGTATTTCCTTTATTGCTAGAGATAGTGAGCATTTTTTCACGTGTTTTTTTGGCCATTTGAATTTCTTCTTTTGAGAAAGTTCTGTTTAGTTCACTTGCCCATCTCTTTATTGGTTCATTAATTTTGGGAGCGTTTAGTTTATTAAGTTCCCTGTATATTCTAGTTATCAGTCGTTTGTCTGATGTGGAGCTGGCAAATATTTTGACACAGGTTACTCCAGAGGCACCTGCACACCCATGTTTATTGCAGCACTATTCACAATAGCCAAGTTATGGAAACAGCCAAGATGCCCTACTACTGACGAATGGATTAAGAAAATGTGGTATTTATACACAATGGGATTCTACTCAGCCATGAAAAAGAATGAAATGTTATCATTCGCAAGTAAATGGATGGAACTGGAGAACATCATCCTGAGCGAGGTTAGCCAGGCTCAGAAGACCAATAATCCCATGTTTTCCCTCATATGTGGACTTTAGATCAAGGGCAAATACAGCAAGGTGATTGGACTTTGGTCACATGATAAGGTGAGAGCACACAAGGGAGGTGTGAGGATAGGTAAGAAACCCAAAAAACATGATAATATTAGATGTCCTCAGTGCAAAGGAACTAATGCAGAAACTTTAAAGTGACAGAGGCCAAGAGGAGAAGGGGTTCAGGAACTAGAGAAAAGGTCAGACCAAGAAGAATCAACTTAGAATGTAACACATATGTACAGGAAAACAATGCTAGGAATCTCCCTGTATAGCTATTCTTATCTCAAGTAGCAAAAACCCTTTGTCTTTCTTATTATTGTATATACTCTCTCTTCAACAAAATTAGAGATAAGGGCAGAACAGATTCTGCCTGGAAGCGAGGGAGTGGGGGGGAGCTGGAGAGGGTGGGGAGAAAGGGAGGAGAAGGGGGTTGGGGGGAGAAATGACCCAAACATTGTATGCACATATGAATAAATGAAAAAAAAATTTAATTTAAAAAAGAAGATATTTACATTGCAAGCCACTATATTAAAATTTATGCTAAAGAACAGACTATAAAACGAAAAATATACCCAGATACATACACGTGTATACTACATAATAAACTGACATTACTAACCAGTGGCAAGGGGTGGATTACTTTAAAATACAAAATGATTCAATAGTAAAAACTGTGAAACAAATTTTTAAGACAATATTGCTTAATTTATTTAACAATAAAAAACATACAGTACACCTGAGAGATGCTGTAGGTTCAGTTCAAGACCACTGCAATAAAGCAAACCATACTAATTTTTTGGTGAAGTAAATTCATGATAAATCTTGGCAGTAGTTATCTGGAGGACAGTTACTGGGAAGTAGGGTGTATATGTGTGTGTATCTGTGTGTTCAAATTATATGTTCTCTCATTCAGAGAGTAACACTATATTTTTCAAAAGAAAATGAAGCAAACTTTTTAATTATTAAAAAATACAATAGGGGGGTGAACTTGTTCAACGTACACTGTACACGTCTATGGAATTATCACAAGGAAACCACCTTGTACTATTAATGCTTGCTAATAAAAAAGGCATATATAATAATTATGTACATAATTGTCTTTCTAAAGTTTATGTAATACTTCTATTTTTTAGAGTTGTCCCAGAAACCTAAAAAAGAACCAAATAAACTGATAGTAAGAGGATCAGTTTGAGCTAAGAGGAGCCCAAGCCAAAGCCTTAAATCTATAATTTGGGAGAAAGCATGAGATATTGAGCTATTGCTGAGGCATAGCACTGAAACTCCAAGCTTTTTCTTGTTATTAATGGAGGGACAAATGAAGAGCAAGAGGCAGTGGAGGAGTACAAATGGAGGGCTGACTCAGCAAAACTTTGCAAAAGACTTGTCACAAGGATAAACGTTGCTTTCAGAGGAGCAGCTCAGCATTCCCACTGCGTACACACAATTATTTCCAGGGAGAAGACTGAGAGGAAGGAGAAAGAAAGAGGAAAGGAAAGAAGATCCAAAGACATCTTAACGAGTCTGCAGACATTTCTTAAATGAGCAAGAGGGAAGAGGACCGAGAAAGAAAACCCACAGCAAAGTGGGCAGGTTCTTCATTTCAGAAGGCAAACATTTACTGTTTTCTGCTTTTTCTCTGTGCCTAAAATACGGGTAAGCTGCTCTGTGGATGTTGACTACACTCTAATTGTTCTTATGATCAATGAGGCATGAAACCTATTGTCAAAAAACCATGATGTCCACTGTGTACAGCCACACTTTTCTTCCTGGCAGGTCACTCCCAGGTGTTAGTGCTGCTCATAGACAGCATGTGAGCCTACACATTCAAATACCATAGCCTTGCATTTCTTTGAGGCAGACTCTCGGAAGAGAGTCCCTTTCCCCCTGTTAATCCTTTCTGTGAAACAAAAAGAATCTTTCTGAAGAGTAGTGGAAACCCTTGTTAAACCCCACAAAGAAGCAGGAAGTGGAGAGGTTGACAAAAATCTCTTTAAAACATATGGAGACAGACTTGTGTTGACAAATATTCCTTATACTTTGGTATTATAATACGAACCCTGATGCTAATTTAATTCCTAGGATTCTATCTGCTGCTTGTTGTATTTCTGGATTTAATTCTGTTCTTTGGAATCTAATCAAATAGCTCTCAAGCAACCTGTTGCTGGTTTCAAACCAATAGATTTTATTGTATTAACTCCCTCTCTGTCATTCTTTAATGAGTATATATTTATTATATATTTATTAGCTGGAATATTTTGGGGTCAAAATATTTTCAGGGTAAATTTCCTCTCAATCATTTAAACTTCAGGCCCTTTGAGCAGGCAACAAAGTGTTTCGCAATGAGAAAATATATTGTGGTACAAATCTGGATGAAATCAACATTCTCTCTCTTGCTGCCCTCCACCACACTCTATGCCTTCAAATTTAGTTCAGATCTACTCCAGACTGTCATATGAATCAACCCCTCTTGTGTTCAGGTATCCTGCCTTTAAGTTTCTAAATCAGACCAAGAGGAGGCAGAAGTTGAGGAATGACCTCAAGCCTCAGTATCCCTGCACTGATCACATCTGAAAAATTAATAGTCAGTTGTGTGGGATGGTGGGTGGAAGCAAGTAAACTATCTTCCTATGATAACCCACATAACAGTCATTGTTTTTGAATCCTGACACCAAATTCTTTACACTTGAATTAGAAAAGGCATTTCTTTGATAGATTTCTTCTTGTTCCAGTTTACAGGCAACTAATCCTCACTGCATTGGATCAAACAGACGGGCACAATCAATTCAGGGAAAGCAAGCAATGCCAGTTCTGCTCAATCTTCCCTCAATGAGCAGCAGAGGAAAGGAAAAGAAAGGGAAAGGAAATTCAGACGTGCTTGACCCAAGATAGCTTGGCAAAGGAAAAGATGAAAAGATAAACTGAAATATATATCCTAGCAGGTGGAAGCATTTACTGTTAGAGGAAGAGTCTGAATACCCCGGGATGAGGCCAAACACACCAAGTCTTCAGGTGCTGAGGATGTTGAAGAGAGTAGGGGCAGACAGAAGTGGTTATGATGTCAAAACAAAAGAAATCATGACAGCATCTCTAGAGAAGGGGTCTGGTTTTACTTAAATCTACAGTCTCTGATCTATAACCTAGTGTGATGAGCAAGTTAATTACTGCATTTAGGTAATTAAGTCTCTGAGAAACAGGAGGCTTTCAAAGCAGTATTAATGTACACTGCTACATCCTTCTAAGCTTGACTGGCCATTTGGTAAGAAGGCACCCTGGAACATCTGCCTAATGGTGGCAGGAAAAAAATGAATGAAAATGAGCTGGAAATAAAACGGCCCCAGTATTAGTGGTTTTCTCTCTGCTCTTGGACATGGAGTGCATGACAAAATTCTTCCTCATTTCCCAGCAGATGCTTTATCCCCATCTGCCTGTTGCTCAAAGTGCAGCCATGACTTGGCCTCTGACTCTCCTGGCTCCTCCTGATTCTGTCTTCTCTTGCACAGCCATTATTTCCTCCCTTCTCATCCTTGAATTTGTTTTGGTCAAGTCTAAAATATTTGTCTACAGGAAAGGGGCTCATTTGGGTAATGGCTTTCCATCACTTGGCTCATTAATGATTCTTAGTTCTCAAAGATCCAACCCTTCCCTGCCATGGGAGTCAGGTTCTCTGGGCCAATGGTTAATCATCTTCAGATGGTTCCCTTAGCTTCCAGGAGGGCATGTTACCATTTGAGAATGGGACAATTAAAACGTTTCTTGCCCCAGATGTCTATATATTGGCAGTGTGACTGCCTTTTTTTTTAACTGAATAATGGCTCACTATGCCATCATAATGCATATAAAATATAACTGGAAAATGTAAGCATCTATATATGTGAATATGTTTCATCAAGATGTATTTTCTTTGTCATAAGTAAGATGTATTATTAATGCATATTTATGAATATGTGGGGTTTCATATTTACACAAATGTGTACAAGCTGGCAGCATCCTTCTAGTCTTCAGTAGGAAGCACGGATGTCCTGGGTCTGGCTTACCACAGAGCATAACAGAACCTAGCTTCTTGTCTTTATTTTCTCTCTGTCAAAGAACCCTTGGATCCACTTCCCGTGCATTTCCAAGATATTCCATACTGGGAAAACAAAGGTCCGAAAGCCCCTCACGCTGCATGAGCATCTTACCGCTGGAGGTGGTGGTCCAGATCTTCCTCAGCACTCAGCAGAGTTGAGTCCTCAGCCCGAGCCAGGAGATGATAACTGCAGTTCATGGACTTCAGTTCCAAGATGAGGAGGCCCAAGCAGAACATGGCTCCCATCTCTTCCAGTTCACTGGTACCAAACTGTAGACCCTGCCAGTTAAACAAAGCAGTCAACAGTGACTACAGACGGGAACTACGTGGTGACAGTTGGAAGTTGGGAAGAAGGACTCCTAGACACATGCCTATCACAGAAATTGTGAGTGAATAATATTTGTCAGTCACTGTCCGATGTGTTTTACTTTGTGCTTTGTGGATTGGTGGCTCTCAGCCTGTGTTCTACAGACATCCCAACTTCCTCAAAGCAACAGCAAGCTGCAGAGCATGATAAGGCAAGGGATGGAGGTAGGACCAGCCCCTGGTCGCCTTTCCCTGTGACACTCAGAGCTGCAATGCTTTCACCTTTATTTTGTTTCAATGCTGAAACAAAGGTTTCTAAACAATCTTATTAAGAGATTATCTATATTTTCCCCATACTTTTCAATCAATAGAGAAAAGTGGGAGAGATCCTTCATCTTTAAATTCTGAAACTGAAAAAGAACACATTTATTTAAAAAAAAATTATCTTGTCAGCTGTACTGAGATAATGCCATGAAAGCAAGGCCAAGACATACATTCTATGGTATGATCCAGGAAGGAAGAGATAATCACACCAATTAACAAAACCTTGTTAAGTAAGTACCATATGCCAGGTGCTATTCTGAGCTCTTTCTCGGGCACTAAATCAGAGCGGTTCCTCACCAAAGTCCTATGAGGTAGAGATTGTTCTTTTCTTCAATCTACACATAAGGAGATTCAGGCGCATAAAACCAAGTGACTTATCCATGACCTCCCACTAGTCACAGAGGCCTTGTAAGTGAATTCTGGCTTGACTACTCCATGTGCAATACTCTGCAGAGACTCTGTTCCATGGTGAGGTAGAAAGTGTAGCTTTTGAAATTAAGTCAGAATTGAGTTTAAATCATGGTTCCACTATTTTCTGAATATGTGGTCATAGGTTTATTGAACTCTTATGAGACCTGACTTAATCACCTATAAAATAGGATCACAATTCTCCCTTCTAGATAGATACCTAAGGAATGTTTCAAAGTCCCTGCAATGTCCCCCAAATATTAATCAATATTAGCTCAATTTGTCTTTTTCTCTTCCGCATAAAGATGTTTAATGTGATAGAATTCCATATGGATCTGAGATCTTTATGTTTAAAAATTACATTCACATTTCACTCAAATAAAAAATAATATTGGATTTTTCATAATATATTATATTTTATTAATGTAACTAAGCAGAATTTATTATGTATTTCAAAATAACTACAAGAAGGATTTTAAACTTCCCAGCACAAAGAAATGATAAATGCTTGATACGATGAACATTGATAATCACTCTGCTTTGACCATTATGCATTACATGACAAGTATCAAAATATCACACAGTATGCCATAAGTATGGATAGCTATTTTGTGCTAATTAAAAATAAAAACCATGGAATTCCATATCCAGATAATAATGATATATTATAGACTAGGACAGGGATGAGGCAGTCAGAACTTTTAAGCACCTCAAAAAAAAAATCCACATTGGGAGGTCCTCTGCTTCACAAAAGAACTTCTAGGCAAAAGCTTAAAGGAAGTGGAAAACCCTCAAGTTTATTTCAGCTGCTTGAAAATTGGATTTGCTGCATGTTTTGACGCCTGTTTCCTAAAGAAAGGAGACATTACTTCAGAGTTAAGGGAAGTGAGTTCCTCTGTAAACAGCAGCAGTACAAGGGGAAAGGCAGATGTTGAACAAATTATTTTTTTCTTAAGTCAATAGCAAAGATTACTTTTTAAAGAGAGAAAAATACCAGAGTTACTTCCCATGTGCTAAAGCTCTAAGGTCTAATTCTTTACCCATCCTATTTTAGGCTGTTCCTTTTCTTCAGAGAAAGGTTGGGTTTGGTGAAGAGGAAGGAAGAGAAGGTCACACCCTTCCATTCAGCCAAGGGAAAGAGGACAAGGAGAATGTGAAAAAAACTCCACCCCTCAGGGGCTGGCAGTGCCCTTACACACATTGGAAACTCCAGCATGTAGCAGAGTACATAACAAGTCCTGGGGGAAATCAGTCTCATCGTATGTGCCATATTGATGGGTTAAGGGGAATTTCTTCATACCAGTCCACTTCTACACAATAACAGCAAAAGTGATAACATTTTTACAATGTAAAAATAGTTTCATATCCTCAATGCTGGCCCTTTTATTTCAGGCAATGGTTGGTATCATAAAAACACTAGTCCAGAAAACCTCTAAAGGAAATTGTACAGCTTTATTGGTTGGGGAATCTGGGTCAAGTCCATTATTTTATTTTGCCCTCTACCATTAATTTCTCTTTACTACTTTATTTGTTTTACTCTCACACAGTATCAAAAATATTTGTGTATATTAATGAACTTTCCTCACATTCAATCCTTGCTCCAGAAGTAAAATACTCAAAGTCAAGAACTGAGCAGTGTCTGTTTCTTATTTCATATCACATCCCTAGCATGGAACACAAACCTGTTGCATGGCATATATGGAAAAATACTGGCTACACTTGGGTAAACATGGAGGGTTAGAGGCAGGAGTGGATTGCTTCTAGGATGCATGCTACATTTGCCAAGTGGAATTTGACTTCTCTGAGCAGAGACTTCATAAGTGCCTTCCAATACCCTGAGTATTTAAAACAGTATTTTATTTTTATCTAGGAGACTGACACCTATCTCTAGGTGTGATATGAGAAACAGTTAAGTAGTGTTTAGGAATTTCAACCTCCACTTTGGTCAGTTATCATGGGTATGGTAACAAGTTTGTAAGTAAAGTTGGGTTTGTGTTTGTTTTAAAAGTGCATGGCGATAGAGAATGAGTAAGTAATGGGAGGTTAATTTGATTAAAGCATGATACACACAGGCCAGAAGTATATATCGATATCCACTTAAAAAAAATGAAGAGCAGGAGGTAAAATAGGTCTTCTTGGGGGTGCATATTAGTGGGAGGTGTGTGGGCATAGGGAAGGTCAATGGGGATGAATAAGGTGGATATACTTTTTATTCATTTATGAAAATAAAAGAATGAAACATGTAAAAAAGTAAATGTGAATAAAATAATGATCTAACTCTCCTCTTGCTCAGCTAAGGTGTGTTTATTAGGGAATTTTTCCATAGATAATAATGAAATCTAACTAAATAGGTTTTTACTTCATACACATAATACATTTGGGAAGTAGAAAGTATATGCATTATTTCAATAATTTGAAATCAAAGTCATGCTATCCTCCATTTTCCTGTTTTTTTTTTTAATTTGTGTGTGTGTGTGTGTGTGTGTGTGTGTGTGTGTGTGTTCTTACCACGATTGAAAAGTGGTTTCAGGAGCTCCAGCCAGCATGTATCATTCACAACATAAGAGAAAATGGGGGAAGAAGTCACCAACATATTTTTGCTTACATTTTACTGGCCAGAAGGGTCTAACAGCACTACATCCAGCTTTAGGATAATCTGGTAACTGAACACTTTAGTTTGCTCAGTGACAGGTAAGGAGTTTGTCTCCCACCCCCACATTTCCAGAAGGAGGTGTCCTTTCTTACTTCTCCCTACTTTATCCAATTACACCAAAATAAATCTTTGCTAAAACTTCCAATAAAAAAAAAGTGAGAGGTAAGAGAGGAGGTTAGAAATGAGTGTCAGCTAAGATGACAGTGTCTTCCCCATTAGTATTTCAATACCAATGCTGGCAGAAAATATAGGATCTTACATGGGAGCAGTAAAACAAAGTTCACTGGCACAATCATCTACATGGTTTTTAAAAAACATCTTCTTTATAATCCACCCCCCAAAAAGAATATTTGTTACCTATGGGTGAGAGAAACATAGGGTTCAATGAAGATAGGCTTGTGGAGAATAACTAGTATTAATTGGTGAGCAAAAGAAGAAAAGCAATTGATAAATGTGGGGAAATGTTCAAGTCCATTATTTAAATAAAAATGCCTTTCACACCCAGAAAATCAGTAAACACACATTCAAGTTTATCTTGCTTAGTGCTGACCTCCTTTTATGCCAAGAGCTGGCAGATATGAAACTGTCTAGTGGAAGTGTAAATTGATTCATACCTTTCAGGAATTGATCAATAACATTTGACATGGTAATGTCACTTCAGGGAATGATTCCTAATGAACTGATAGAAAATAAAAGTGTAGATATATGCATAAAAATGTAAGTTATGCCAGTGTTAGATGTAATAATCAAAATTTGAGGGAAGTAAAACCCTAAATGCCTTATAAAGGAGGAATGATTAAAGACATTATAATGGAATAAATTTGATAGAATATAATGAAACCATTAAAATGATAATTGTAACAACCATTCAGCAATATGGAAAATGCTTATGATATAATGATAATATAAAGCAAGATATGAATCATGTACTAATATGATTTATGGTGAAGAGTTAACAGTGTAAGAGCATGGTCACCCAGCCCCCAAAACCCCAAACATTTTAGACTTTATATAATTTGCCTGTAAGATACAATCATTTGGAGGAGAGAGGGCTTTAAAATCATACCAAGAGAACGCCCACATACCAAAAACTTTAAGACATTTCAGCTGCCTGGAAAAATGTTTTAAAAGCTACGTTATGACCATAAATGGATTGTAAAATTCCTTTTTCCACTTGTCAGACTTTATCTTTGCTATTCTGAAGACAATTTAGATTTTACTCTCATTTCTTATACTTGTAATTTATTGGTACTATCATTGGTGTCTTTCAACAATTCCAAAAAATTATCTTCCATTTTCATCATGAATATTGCCCCTCCCTTATTCTCTGAGTAGCAAATAAAAAGTGACTATTAAGCTTATGTTATCTATTTTCACTCTGTCTTTCATACCTCTTAACCTTACACTTCCTATTTTCTATTTCTTCCTTTCACTACAATAATCCTGAATATTTTTTCTTCTCAGTGTTCCATTTTAAAAATTCTCTCTCCAACTCTATTGAATCTGCTCACTAACTCATCCAACTCCCAAACTGTACCAGAAACAGTTACAAACATAGTTAAATTAGGTTACTGTACTTAATTATCTC